GGGGAAGGAGAGAAAGGAAGAAGAGGGGAGAGGAAGGGGAAGTAAACGGGTTACGATGAGTCCCGAGTGTGTACCGACTCCCCACAGCGAATGCAATTATGTACCGCAAACTACGAAGAAAAAGAGTTTTAAATGAAACAATGCAAGCTTTTCTGAGCCCACCCTTACAGAGCTGGAGAAGCCAGGGCTGGTCACGGCCCACGCGTGACCGCCACCGCGGGGTAGTCAGGTTCCCGCGGGCGGGACCAACTGCGCACGCCTGCAGCTTCCCGGGTTCACCTGCCGCACATTCGCGGGCGGTTCAGTCCGTCGCAGGCTAAAGTCCTGGCAACAGCGACCGGTCAGGCAGGGCCGCGGGTCCGCGCCAGCCGGGGAGCAGAGCAGGGAGCAGCGCAGCGAGGAAGGGCCGAGGTGGGGCGCAGGGCCGCAGTCACGGCCGTGGCCGACCTGGACACCCACCAGTGTGCGTTCGAGGCCGTGCGGGCCCATCGAGTGGACAAGCAGGCCGACCATCACGCGCGGCGTCCAGGGCGAGGGCCGAGCCCAGAGCGTCCGGACCTGCGCACGCTTGCAGTTTTCCATCTCTCGGTAGCTGCCTGCCACAGTGGCAGCCCTCGCTGAAAGGACTCCACCCTGACAAAGCAGAAATCAAGCCGGACTGCAGTGCAAAGCCATCCCAACCTGAGGTCCCGCGGGGCCATCCGGACAGGGTGCGACGGAGCTGCAAAGGCCAGGCGGTCAGAGCTTACACCCAGGCCCATTTCTCAAGAGATGCCTTACGGGACTACTGGTTGACCGCAGAACCAGTGGCTAAGCAACGCCCCCAGGGTGAAGACCCGACTGTGCGAGCAGCTGCAGAAACCAGCAGAAAAGACCGGAGAAAGGACAAGAGGGCTCCTGCGATGACCTCTGTCTCGTGAAGACCTTGATACCACTCAGGAAGGCACTGCTTTTGGACAAAGATGGCAGGAAGTTGTGGAGGGCACAGGAGACTTATCTACTGAAGGCTCGGGAATATTTTACATGGGGTTAGGGTTTTATTTTGTTTTGTTGAGGGCCACAAAATGTGAGGTACACTTTTAATAGTCAAAGAATCATTTAGAAAAATGTAGGATGCTCAGTGACTGAGAACATTTCACCACAGGAGGGATTTCACAGGGAAAAAAATGGAAGCAGTTCTCAAAGAAACTATAAATGACCAGGAAAAGTTTTAAAAAGTGACAAAGGTAAATTAAATTTTCCTTAAATGGAAGTGAAACAGTTAAGGGGAAAGAAAGGTCCAGAAAAAAATTTCAGATTAGCATGTGTAGAAATAAGAATTAAAAATAATCAATTGTACTGTATTCAGTATTGAACATAAACAAATGTTGTTTAGTCCTCTTACATACTTTATGTAAAACTTTCTTAGAGCCATATTATAATACTTTATATGTCCATTAATGTGCAGAGTTCAAACGGAAATGAAAGCTAGAGCCATCTTCAGCCGTGTCGTTAGCATGTAGGTCTTGTCATACGGACAGCTGACAGATGAGGGCAGTTGTAACATTCCAGCCTCCACCGTACAGGAAGGCAATGGGTGTTGGGTGAGGCCACTTAAAATATTTGCCACGACCTAAAGGGAGAGGAATCTCCTCACAGCCCTGTCTGGAATGGACGCTCCCATCTCTGGGACCAGACACCAAGTTCTAGAACAGAGGCTGTGCCCAGATGGGACAGTGCTTGGCATTACCCAACTTGCTGAAGGCCTAAACAGAACAGAAAATGGGGGAGGAATCTGCCCCTATTTGCTGCCTCACTGCTGCAACTGAGCATCTTATCTCATTTTCTCCTGCCCTTGGGCTGGGGTTTACTGAGATTTATATCATCGTCTTGCCTGTCTTACAGCCTTGGAACTCTTTGAACTCAGACTGAGTTACACCATCGGCTTCCCTGGGTCTCTAGCGGGCAGACAGTAGATCACATCACAGAGATCTCAGCCTCCACAATCCCAGGAGCAGACTCCCCCCCACCCCGCCCCCTGCAGGTCTCCCACAGTGGGGTGGCGCTGTCTCCAGCAGAGGTGGTACTGATGACTAGAACAAAGGAGGTGCAGCCCTTCCCATCTGAAACCCTCCCTCCACTCCTACCTCGGAATGTCAGGATGGCCTTAAGAAAGCGAGCAGCTTCCCTTACAGGGTTTTTCCACAGGAGGAGCAGAGCAGAGAGCGAATGAGGCCCCGCAACACAATTACAGATTGAAAAATTATGGCAAGCTCCTCAGTTATCTATCATTTTCTAACAACTCACTTCAGGACTTAGTGTGTTAAAGCTACTGTTTGTTATTGCTCACACTTCACCAGGGGCCTGGGCACTTTCTTTGCTGGCTTTGTGTGTGCTTATTTCCAGGCAGCTGGCCTGGAAATCTAAGTGTCCTCACTTAAGCACCCAGGATGGAGTTCTTTGTTCTCCCTGCAGGACCGGGCCAGCTTCCCTACTCAGCAGTCTTGGACTCTGAAATACCTAAGGCCACTGGAGGCCTATCCATTAGTCATGAAGTGTGAGGGAAAAGGAAAATATGCAGTATAAAATAAATATATAAAATTCTTATCACGCCCAAATAGTGTGACATTCTCACTTGAGATTATATAACTTCAAATCTTAAAATTGCTTTATATCTTCCATATATCACATACAAACAAAAACATATACCTTTTTAAACTTCAGATTACCAATCTATCAAATTGTCAATTGTCGATCCTATCAGGATTAGAGTGCTTAATTTTTTTGGTAAGTGTATAAATGCTTTTTTCCCTAACCTTAAGAAAAAATTTTTTTAAAATTTAGGAACAATTTCATTTCTACCACGTTCTTTTTATCAAAGCTAGCAAAGCCAGCCACAGTGCAAAGGGTGGAGAAATGGACACCACTCCTAGAGATGAGAAGTACAGGTCACACTAAAAATAAAAATTTTAAAAAAGGACTGAGGGTGGAGCTCGGTGAGAGGTCCCTGGGTTCAATCCCCAGAAATATATGTACATATCCAGCCACCAAAGCTGCTGGTGCCTTGATCTTGAATTTTACATCTCCAGATCTAAAACAGATAATTTCTATTATTTATGCATTATCCACGCTCGGGTATCTTGTTACAGTACCAGGAATGGACTAAGATAGTGATGACACAGAAATTTAATGCTCAGTGCCCATCTTCTTGACAAGACCAACACAATTATCACCCATCATGATTAATAATTCCTCGCTGTTATTTTGGAATTCAGTTAAGAAAAAACTGAAAAACTACTTCTGTAATAAGTGTAGGGAAGACAGGCATTTTTAGTAACTTCTTAGTCAGGGAATTAATAACTTTATAACTTAAAAGTCATAAGAAAGTGGGCCAGGGAGTTAGCTCCATGGCTCTGTGCCTGCCTTGCAAGTACAAGATCCTGAGTTCAATTCCCAGTACAAAAAAAAAAAAAAAGTCATAAAAAAGTGTTGCCTTTAGAAAGCTCTTCCCAAACCTAAGAGTCTAGGATTCCAAGGTTTACTGGAACCCTTGAGTTTTCAAGTTTTCTCTTTTGTCATTTCATGGAAAATTTAGTGGCTTTCAGAATCATTCCAGTTAGCTTAGGATGTGCCTGTTGGGGAAAGGGAGGTGAGAATTCTCCTTCTCAATTTAAAATCAGGGGCCGGGGATTTAGCTTAGTGGTTCCACCACCTGCCCCACTACACCTGAGTTCAATCTCCAGTACCTGCCAAAAGTATCAATTTAAAATCAGGTCTAGGCCGGTGTGTGGAAGCCACACAGCCACCTGTGAGGGAGGTGAAGCGGCCCTGCCTGTGACAGCCAGCCCTGTATGGAGTTGCTTCGCTCCTCTGGGCCACAGTGCTCTTATCTGTGAGGCGGGAGGCTCTGGACTGAGCCCTTCCTGTTCGGGCAATGGGCAGTGCATTCCTGGGCACCCACAGATGTGCCGAGCTCACACGCAGCCTGTGGCCCTGCAGGTGGAGGACAGCGGTGCCCTCCTGAGGAGTGAGTCCCCACAGGGTGAGAGTCCTTTATCTCTCCCTGCTTGCCACCTTTTCAATTTTTATTTACCATAGTTGAAAAACACTTGTGTTTAGGAGATTTGAAAATCTTTTGAGCAATTTTATTCTTGAAGTGGGAGCAATGATACTTTAAAAGTTTTCATCTATAGATCATTCTATATTTTTCAAAAATATATTATAAACGCTTAAGCCGGGTGTGGTGGCGCATGCCTGTAATCCCAGCACTGGGGAGGCTGAGGCAGGAGGATCGCTGTGAGTTTGAGACCAGCCTGTGCTGCTTAGTGAGTTCCAGATCAGTCTCAACTATGTAGTGAGACCCTGTCTTAAAAAACAAACAAACAAACAAAAAACAATAAAAAAATATATATAATAAACTCTTAATTTATACTTCACCAAAGGGATCCCAAAACATTATCTTAACTGAATTCAGTGGAATAATAAAATACAAAGTTGCATGAGCAGTATAAATAAAAAACTGGAAGGAAAAATTCAAAACACTAACAGTATTTACTTCGAGATATCAAGACATAGACTATTTTTTCTTTTGTTTTCCTGTATTGTAATTTTTAATTTTTAAAAAAATACAGGAAAAAATAAATTCACTCAAAAATATTTACTATAATAGTTCCATACCTATAATGACATGCTTTTGAAACAATTAAGATTTTTATTTTCCACCCATAAAATATTATTAGCTAGTTTATAAAAACAGGTGTGAACATAGTGGCTTGCAGTTTACTTTATCCTTGATTCTAGTCATACAGTTATAATAGTGAACACATTTATAATACCAGTGTCTTTTCTCTCCCAGGAAAGCAAATTAAGCTATCCTCCTAAGGCCGCGGCCACCTCAGTGTGGAGCCCCTAGCCTTTAGACTTACTTTGAAACAGAAAGGCAAAACAGAACAAGCAAACAACAACAAACCCAAACAGAAAAATCAAGAGAAGGAGCATCTGTAATGATTTCAAATACATACTCTCAGCTTTCTCTCTGAAGCAGTGCCTTCCTCCAGAAACTCAAGGAGGAGCTTGCTTCTCAGTTGGTGGGGAAAGATGCTCAAAGAGAAATCCACTTAGACACCGTTAGCCTGTGGCTGGCACCAAGCACACAAAATGATAAGAATGTCAATGTTTAAAAGAGCTGCAACTTTTTTTTTTTTTTTTTTTTTTTTTTGGTACCAGGGATCGAACTCTGGTCTTTGCACTTGCAGAGGCAGACGGTGGAACCACAGAGCTAAATCCCCGGCCCGAAATGGAACTTTTTGAAACAGAGGAGCACATGGACTTTGTCAACCTGATGTTTTAACGAGGAGATAGATGCCACCATTTTGCTTTGCCAACTTTTTTCCTTGGAGAGAGTAGGGTGTTTTTCCTGAGAGTACTAATTATATCTGAAGTTGCAGTCCAGAAAAAAATTGCCCTCTAGACTACCGTTGTTACTAGTCACTGGGCTCAGAATTGGCTATTTTTGCAAAATAAAAGTGCTAAGAGTATTTTCATGTCGCATAAAAATACTGGTAATTTGAGCTTTCCTAAGTTTCCAATTTTTTTTCTAGATGTCATTCTGGCAATTTCTCTTCACAAGAATGAGAATGGCATGGGAATGTTTAAGGTAGAATTTCTGTCTTCTTCAATATTAGGATTCTCCGTAACACAATGAGAAGACATTATCAATAAGAGTCAATTTGTATTTTACCTTTTAAAGGTAATATATAGTATAATTCAGTCCCACAAAACAGGTTGTGAGGTAGATAAATCTGCTCACAGTAACTCTGCAAATGTTCCGTTGACTGTGGATTTATTATTTCAGCCGTCTCTGGTGAGGGCGTTTCATATGCTTATAAATCTCGTGAGTGTCTCTTTGTGCTTCAGTGCATCGTGTTAATGGACTCCGTAACTGTTACATACAACACGTCTCTATCAGCAGAGGTTTAGGAACAAACATTTATACCAAGACTGTTTAAAAGTTGGCAGCCCCGGTGAATAGTAAATAACACTGAATAGGACAGAACATAAATACACAGATCAGTTTAATAACAGATTGTCTCCTAAAGAATTAAAAACAGGGTTGCTTGAACTGTCCAGGAAGACACATCCAGCATTCCGATCCACGCAGCACGAAGTAGGAACCAGCGGTTTCAGAGTACTGGATTTCAGTTCCCTTGCATGAATAAATTTCCCTTAGTTTTTGGAATAAAGTCAATGTTTAATCAACTTCCTACTTCATTTTAGGTTGCAAGAGCCATATGTTCCTGCTCTCCACTTCTCGTCGCTTCCCAGCTGTCACCTTTGAGTCTGACTGTGCTCCCTGAATGAACCCCATCGACCACCTCCTTTAAAGCTAGGTATTTGTGACATCTCCATCACAAATGAACTTCAGAGAAGCCAACAGGAAAGTTTCTGAGCAGCTTCAATTCCCCATTTCCACGTGCAGTTGCAGGGCTTACTGTGTTCCAGGTGTTTTCCAGGCATGCAGGAGCTGCTCTCCAAGGTTAGGTTTCTCTTCTGCAGTCTTTTTCTGCAGGTCAAGTCTCCCCTTTTATGCTAATCGGCGCGTCACAGTGTTCCTTCACCTGGTTTTGAACCCCTTTCAGGCACACACAGCATGCCTTGGGCACTGCCCACCGGCATCTTTGTTCTCAGGGTCAAGGGTGCTGTTTCCTTCCACGCTGGGTGCTGCAGGGCTCAGGAGCAGATCATCCTGGTGGTCGCGGTCATGGAGTGTTGGTCAGTTTTGTCCAGGCTGGCAAATAAAAATGAGATTAGTTTTTAATCTCCTGAAGATCTTGTTGCTAAAAGATTGACTGGGCTGCTCACGAAGGGGAAAAAAAAAAATTGGGGTAAATAAAAAAACTCTAGAAAAAATGTGCTAGGATGAAGGACAACGTAAAGACAAGGGCAGTATGGGAACCCCTGAAATATCACACAGGTCCTAGCCAGTACAGCCTATTGCCTCCTGATGACCTCAAATGATTCTTAAAACCTGAAATTTCCCAGGCAAAAATTCATCATATAGCTTACTTTTAAAAGGCCTTCCTTAGGCATTTATATGCTATCAGTAAATTTAAATGAACAAATATATTTGTGCCTGTTTAATATTTGAAATAAGGTAATAGTTGAGTTAACTAAGATGTTTTTTACATAAATGAGAAAAAGTTAATGCAATGGACAAAAAAATGATTTTAGAAGACACTGAAATATTTTATAAGTAGCAGAAATCTAAAACCTGTTCCTGATTGCTAGGGGGAGAAAAAACACTAACTTTAATGAAACTGTATTTTTTGGTACTCAAAAATGATCAATAAATACCAGCAGTCTTTTTTGTGATAAATCAAAACTGTAACAAGAAATGAGATACGAAACATATACTGTCACTGTTTGATATCACAAAAGATAACTGGCAACAGATTAGCTAATCTTTTTATAATTCATAAATATACTCATGTGGGTCTTGTTTCATATTTAGTTTTACATATTATCTATCATTTTAATTAAATAATTCTATACTATATCATTTTAAATGCTTGTATATAAAAGAGATAATCCAGGAATGCACAAGAACGAAAGAAATTTTATTAGGGTAGTGAGAATTGTTATGACTGACTCAGGAAGAGTTAATGACAGAATTTTCCAAAATTAACAAAATACATTGTCACAACGTAAAGAAGCCTACAGATCTCAAACAGAATAAATAAAAGAAATCTATAGTTAAGCAAATTCTAATTCAACTGCCTTAAAGAATACAGTGGCAAAAATATTAAAAATCATCCAGATCAAAAAGACGGACTAGGCTGGGGGGTGCCCTCCCGGTAGAGCACTTGCCTGGCAAGTGCTTCCTAGTGTTTGCAAGTTTCTGGGTTCCGTAGGGTAGAGACACAATGCAGAGCTGACAGCCTGATCTGCTGAGTACGGACACAGAATGAGGAACCCAGCAAGGGCACAATCAAGCAGAATCATTCAGATCCGGTGTGACAAACCAAGCATAAGAGAACGGAAAATTAGAGTATGTTCTCTGACCCCAAAATGAATAAACTAGAAATCATTAACAAAATGATTATTTAAAAGTCACGTGTTAGAAGTAAGGCACTGTATAACTATGTAACACGTGGGTCAAAGATGTAAATTGGAAAATATTTTTAACTGTAACAATGAAAATAATTTTATTTAAGACAATTTATCACACACAGAATAAAGAGAAGTCATATGGTTGTGTCAAAATTTGGGACAAAGTCAAGGCCCGTGAGTCCGCTAGGGCTGCTGTGATAAAGTACTCCAAATGGGGTCGCTTAAGGCAACAGCGATGGCCACAGTCCCAGAGGGCAGCGGAGCCACTCTCGGGTTGCCCTGAGGGTCCTAGGATGGGCCCTCCCTGCCTTCTCCGCTCTCCTAGTGGCTCCCGGCAATCTTTGGCATCCCTTGGCCTGTCCGCATCACTGCAGTGTCCAGTCTACACTTCCTTTCCATGTGGTGCTCTTTCTGCGTCTATCTCTCTCTCTTTTTTTTTTTTTTTGGTACCGGGGATCAAACTCGGGTCCTTGCGCTTGCGAGGCAGGTGGCGGCACCAGCACCCCGAGCTAAATCCCCAGCCCTCATCTCTTTTTTCATTACACACATCTACCGTCAGATTTCAGGCATACGCAATGGTAACACTCACTACAGGGCACTGGCACCTGTATACGGTGCGTCCCGCCCCTCTTTCCCGCCGTCTGATCTCTGTAAGAGGACACCAGTCTGTAGGGAGGTTCACCCTACTCCAGAATGGCTTCACCTTAACTTGTTTACATCTACAAAGATTATTTCTTTTTTTCCTCTTAAATTCTTTTATTTTTACATTTCAGGTATACAGTACATTTTCATTCATTTGGGAACTTGTACCTTTACACGATGTAACTTGGTTCTTACCTTTTCCCCATTTCCCTACCCTGCCTTCAACCCCTCCACCCTTCTCTGTTTGCAAAAGCTTTGTTTCCATTTATTTACAAAGATTATTTCTAAATTAGGTCACACCCACAAATATTGGGGTTTGTAACACTTACTTCTTGGGGGGGCAAGTCAACCCCCAACACAAGGACTCCCACTGTTGCCACTTCCTTTTGTATTTTAAGTCCTAGCCAATGCAGTAAGTTAAGAAAAAGAAATAAAAGGTGTAAAGATTAGAAGAAACAAAGTTGTCATTGTTCATGGATGGTATAATCGTCTATAGAGAAAATTATACATAATTCATAGATAAATTATTAGAATGAGTAAGTTTAATATGTCTGGTACATAAGTTAATACATAAAATTTATTTTACTTCAATATAATAAATAGGAAAATAAATGTTTTAAAAAGTATAATTGACAATAGCATACAAAAACAAACATTTGGAAATCAGTCTAATAAAATGTGCATAATACCTCTGGGTTATAAGATCTTATTGACAGAAATTAAAGAAAATCTAAATATGTTATGTCCAGGGACTGGAAGATTCAATATTGTAGATCTGCCAACTCCTTCCAAAATGATCCATAGAAGCACTGCGATCCCAATAAAAGTTGTAGTTATGCAGACACTGACAAGCTGATTCCCAAGTTCATACAGACAGGAACAAGGTCAAGGACAGCCAAGAAATCGGCGAACATGTACTAGTGAGCACGGAGACTTACTATAAAGCCAGGCTAATTGAGCCTGTGGTATTAGCACAACAACAGACAAGCCAGTGAGGCAGAAAAAGGTGCCCACAACAGACCCATGCTATGCTTGCATGCACCACTGCTCTGTGGCGGGATTAGCACTTCAGAGCAGCGAATAAAGGAAAGGCTCTTTAATAAATTGTGCTGTGACAAGTGGATATCCTTATGGGGAAAAATGAATTTGCCCCATCTTGTGCTATGCACCAAAATAATGCATGCAAAACACAGATGTAATTTTACAAATACAAATTTGAACAAAAAATACAGCAAGATTATATTCATGCAAAGTTGAGACAAAATCAGACCATTAGGGTAAAAAGGATCGCAGGTAAGTTGGGGAGAAAAAAGTGAGCAACTGGAAGGCATAAAGGAGGAATTTATAGAGTGACACTAAACACTCATTTCTTTGGCTTGGGGGGTGGTGTAAATAGTGGTTACACACATTAAGTCATTCAACAAATACTTAGGAATAGTTATGACTATATCCAAGGCACTGTACTAGGTCTGGGTGGTGAAAAAAAAGTAGAAACAGCATGAGTCGTGCTCTGGTGGTGCTGACCTCTGAAGCAGAGAGAGACAAAAAGGCAATCAGAGTGATGAGTAGAGACACATTTATACAGCTGCTCAGTGGACTGGCTCTGATACCCTTAGCTGGCCACACAGGGCCTCTCCTTACTGCTGTGGGCGGGGAGAAAGCCATTAAGGCCTCGCTGGACTGGATCATGAAAATAGTTACTCGCTCCATCCCTGAGAAGCGGCGGCTCCTCCTTTTATCATAAATGGTTCCGACGCTATTTTAGATAGGAATTCATTGCTTACTATTAGTTTTAACCTTAATCTTACAGACTTAACTGTAAAATATAAAAGTTCTTTTGAGTCCTAATTTAAAAAGCAACGAGTTTTAAAATGGCTTTTCCCTAGGTTATAAAGTACTTACATGCTCATTGTGGGGTATGTGAGAAATCCGAAAATTACAAAGGAGACGAAAATCCGTAATTCTATCGCCATAGCTACTGTAAATACTTTCTTGGGTCTCCTTCCATTTTTTGGAGTCCTTATTAAGCAGTTCTATCCACAGCTGAGATCAGACTTCCTCCATGGCTTTACAACCAGAATTTTCTAGTTAAAATCATAATGGGGACTTCTCCAAGTTCTCGTAGAATCTTCCTAAAACATTATTCTTCGGCTAATAAAAATATCTCATCTTCAACCTGCATACTTCAAACTGTCTGACAGCTTGGTTTGTCCAAACAGGAAGGAGTTCTGTTTGGCCGCGGTTCCGGGCCTGTAGTGGCTTCGTGGTGCCCGAAAACAGATCACGGAACCACTCCCAGATTCGCGCATGACCCCCGTTAAAGTCTGCCGAAGGAAGAGGCTGCGAGCCAGAAACTTGGCTTTTCCTCTCCACGCGAGCAGTTCAGGCAGAGCGG